AACCATAATCAAATTATCATGTATCAAAGTCCTGGTGTGTCAAAAAGAGAATCACCATGCAGAGAATTAAATCGATTGAAAAATGAACTATACTAGAATATGAGGCAAGGTATATAAATTCTGCCATAAAATGTATAGAGTTGAAAGAGCAAGAGTTGGCATTCAAGAGTGACTCCAAGCATAGGGAAAGTTTGAATGGCAAACAATTGATAGCATGCAGAACATAGAGCAGAATCGATTGCTAGATGGTGTTAAATAAATATAAATTAGCAAGGAAAGATGCTTACCATAGTATACCAGTGTTGATTGTGACCTGCCATCTGCGAATGATCTGGCTGAATATGTAAATGCTGCTGAGGTTGTTGCGACTGCTGAGGATGCTGTAGAGGATGAGGTAATTGTTGCTGTTGACGCTGCTGCTGCGGTTGAGTATGATGCGGATGTGAATGGTGCTGCTGTAGCTGTGGGTTTTGAAGTAGTTGCTGTTGCTGAGAATGATGAAGCTGTTGCTGCCGTTGGTTATGATAATGTTGCTGAGTTAGAGGAAGGGGGGGAGGAACTCCCTGTTGTTGATGATGCAATTGTGACGTAGTGTGCATTGATTGATGGTGTCCACTTGTGGAGCCACTACCAGCGGATGATGGTGGAGTGGGAGTCATCGTCTGACCCCCAGATAGTGGCAATTGTTGGCCCTGCAATGACTGATTCTGACCCAGAAAGGGTTTTGACTGAATCTGTCCGAGACTGGTTCCTCCGGGTCCGGTTTGATAGCTAGAAGAATTCGCGGATCCAGGAGTACAAGAGTATGAGTTAGGGTGGGCAGAATTAGAATATTGTGAGACCGGAACGCCAGGAGCTGAGGTGATAGAGGCAGTGGTCGTAGGTGCGGTATTGGAAATAGAAATGGAGGTTAAAGACGAGATAAAACAGGTGACGGGAGGTGTGGTTCCAGAGGAGATCGATGACTGTGGTCCGAGACAGGGAGAATATGCAGAATGTTGTGGACCTTGGTAGACAGGTTGGGATGTTGTGAAGTGAACGCCGGAGACAGACATTTGTCCTGATTGAGATTGGGCTGGTTGATGTTGTATCTGTTGAAGAGTATTGGAATGGTGGTGATATTGTGGACCGGGAGGTGGTACGGAGGGAAGGTGCTGTTGCTGTAGCTGATGATGTAGGTGATGCGATTGTCGTTGTTGATGTTGAGGTTGTTGCGGGGAGGGGAACACCCCTACTGGAGATTGGGGACAGGGCAAGTGACCGCTTTGTGGATAGATGCCTGGAATGGTGGGTCGAATGGGTGACAGCAAGGTTTGTTGGGTGTGAGGATATTGTGGCTGTGGTTGATGCTGATGAGACGGTTGCGGTGGTGGAAGTAAAGATGGTGATTGTTGTTGAGGTTGATGAGAAAAATGAGTATGTGTTCCTTGATGGAATTGCTGTTGAGGATGCTGGACAGAGTGTTGCTGCTGTCTAGAAGTAAGCTGCTGGCTGACCGAGGGAGAAAGCGATTGCTGCTGTTGTTGAGCTTGATGCTGGTTTCCAGCCAAAGGTGAAGCGGCTGATGCCAAGCTGCTAGAGGCAGATTCAAGACCAATCAGATCAGTTGGCATAGCCATATCAATAGTTTGATGACCAGAAGCGTGTGGATGGCCTTGGTAGGCCTGAGAAGAGGACGATAGTGATGACGCAGAGATAAGCTGCTGTGGTGTGTTTGCCGATGGAGGCCTAATAGGAGACTAGAAAAATAGATCGAAAGTGGGCGTGGATTTTGAAGAAGGAATAGAAGAGGAGGATACGGTATTTGTAAATAGTCCAAAAAAGGAGGCTCCTTTCATTATGAAATTAGTAAAATACAGTATAGTTTTCACCTCAGCACATACAAGATATGAGAAGTGAAAAGTAATATTTTTACTGTGCATTGCATCTTCTTGGGATCTTTCATAACCAAGATGGGTTTTTATAGATTTGTCAAATCAATAACGTATTAATTTCTCCAACTGAGGACTCTTGGAGAAAAGCTGACGGACCAATGAAAAATATCCGCATACAAAATGAATAGCTATTCAAGGAAAGAGGATAATGAAAAGCATAATAACGTTGATAAAGCAGTTAAAGTAGTAAAAAGGACACGGTCTTTATTCACTGTAAAGTCTAAGAAGGAATACAGATGCTAGCAAAATGCTAGCTACACTTTAAAAAAGTAGTCAAACTAGATTGGTCAAAAACTAGATTGTCTGCTTAACATTCAGGGGTAACTAAGGGCATAATTATAGTAGGTAGAATCAAGCAATAATTCTAAATTATCAGCAGTTAGGATAATTAAGTAGTGTGGCAGTAGATAGGCGTGGTTTTCCGATTTAATGGAAACTGGGCAACAACGAGATCGGACGAATAAATTAAGTGAATCATTTTAAAATGACAAAATGGATTATTACTTATTTGTCAACTTTCCCGGCTACCTCAACAATAGAAAAATATCATAG